CTTTGTTGAAAGACAATATAAACACTAAGATGCGTAACGCCATACAACAAAATGCTGCTATGCAGCTTGCTTTTTTGAAAATTGTGAACGAAAACAAAATCAGTATCATTGCGCTCTCACAGCTGAAAGAGCGAAAAGCTAAAAATAGAATGTAAACTGCGCTTCGGTTCTATGAGAGCCGTGCAAGCAATTATGTTTGTATGTGTGTTAGATACATACAGCATATTTGAATGTGTTGCTATTCACAGCTCTGGCTTTAGCTGGCAATGAAATAAATTTTGTTAGTTTTCTAGCGTGGATCATGCCCCTATCCCAAATTTCACACGCGAATGCATGCTGTGTACTGAGGTTGGCTCCGTAGAAAATCTATTTTTTAAAGTTGTCCCAAAAATTTTTATATAATTTCTTCAAATTAAATGAATTATTTTTTATTATTATTTTTATTTTATTAAAAAATAAAAGAGTGCCAAAAAATACAAATACGGTAAATTAAATACGTCGGTAGCTAGTTCGAACGGCAGAGTAAAAAATATTTTAAACAAAAAAAAATTGATAAAATGAATCTTTGGAAACACAAAATTTGCGCTCATTTCTTTTTGCATCGACTTTAAAAACCTCAGTACACAGTTTGCATTCATATGTGAATACAAATTTGGGAAAGGTGCATGATCAGCGCTAGAAAACTAACAACATTTATTTTTTCACCAGCCAAAGCCAAGGCAGTGAATAACAACACACATATATAAACATTTTTTGATCTAGTTATGCATGCACAATTCACACATACAAACATAGGAGCTTGCACGCCATTGGCTGAACATGAGCTTCTCTCAAGCATACACTGCCCAAAAACAGCAGTGAAATAAATCTATGTGTGCTATTTTCTTAACATAGTTATTGCACAAGTTGCGCCTTGTAAAAAAAAATTTTTATTCTTAAATTTTCCTGCAAAATTTATAGTTAGTATCTAGGGTAATCTATCATTTAAATAAAGCATGCATTCCATGGATAAAGCAGAAGTACTTTGCGTCGATCGTAAGTTTAAAACTTTTCGCTCAATCTTCGACCAGCTTTGCTTCGTTGCTCGTGTCCGCGCATCAGCAAGCCGCAAATGTATGAGCGTTACTCATCTTAGTGTTTATATTGTCTTTGGTTATACCATACAATGCAGCTTATGAATAACGGTGGTTCAAAATTCTTTTGTTAAGAATATGTAAATATATATATATATTTGTATTTTTAAATGTACTTGTTTTAGTGTATGGTCATACTAAAATGATTAATTAATGAAAAATTTTTATTCTATCTTTATGAACTGTTTGTTTCTTTTTTTTATTGTTTGAGATTATAATGTAATCTCGTTCTCGTATTTCCGTCACAGTATAGACCTGTATATTTAAAATTTCATTTATGTCCTGATTCATTTTTTAATAAAACATTATCTCCTACTGATATATCTATGTTTCTTACTTTCTGATCATATATTTCCTTATTCTTTTTCTCATGTTATTCGGTCATTATTCTAGCTCCTTTATATGCTACTTCTTATCTATATTTACTTTCTTTTGCGTAATCATCTATATTATAAATTGCTTCTATGCTATCTATACTATTGAATTGTTTTGGTAAGCTATGTATTTGTTTTACCAAATACTAGCTCATATGGACAATAAGTATGTGCCATAGAGGTCGTGTTGAAACAGTAAAAGAAATATTGAAGCCATACGTCCCAATCAGTTTTATCAACTGATATGTATGATCATGTGTATTCATTAAAACTTCTATGACTTCTTTCGACTGTTCCAACTGTCTGGTGGTGGTGTGCGGTATATGTTGTGTTTTTAATTTTTAAATATTTGCACAAATCACTAATTATCGAATTTTTATATTCTGTTCCCATGTCCGTAATGAAAGTCTTCATTACGTACTTCAGAATAAAAGATTCAAATATAGCTTTAGCGACAGTATTTGCGCATTTGTTTGCAATACGTATGTCAACAATATATTTTGTTTTCACATATCAGTGTAACTGCATATTCATTGCCTTGCTCTGATTTTGGTAGTGGACCGATCGTGTCTACTATTACTCTATAAAAAGCATTGATTGGGATTTATGTTATAGTTAAAGGAGTTTTTGTGTTTGTTGTCACTTTTAATTTTGACATTTTTCACATTTTGTATGTACTCAGTAATATATCGATTCATATCTTTCCAAACATAATGTCTTTTGACCTTGGCCAAGGTTTTTGTAATGCCTGTGTAACCTCCTTGTATTGGATCATTATGAAATGTAGACAACATAGCTTCTTTTTCTTTTTCTATTAGGGTCACCGGGTTGAGTAGCGCTACTCTTAATGTTTTTAATATTTTATTGCCCATTTGTTTGAAATTATCAATTAAAACTTGTTCAAAGATATTTTCCCATGGTGCCACTTTGAGTTGGCTGATTTGATAAATACCGGATTGCATTTCAAGCCTTTGGAAGAACTGACCTAAGTCGAGAATTCCATTAGTATACAAATGTTTTAAGAAACATAGTATATTTTTTACTTGCAAGGTCACTACCTAACGTACTTCGTCATTGTTGATGACTTCATATACGTTGGGCTTTGAAGCTTTTTCTATAGATTGCCTAGGCAATTCTATTTCTTTATCTCCTGCGAAGGATTTTTGTCTACTTTAATATCTAGTAGTGACTTTCATTATATTTCTTGTAATGTCTTGGAGTTCTTTGATGGGTATTCTTGATAACGCATCTGCGATATGATTATCTTTACCCTTAAGATATTCTACTGTAAATTCATATTCTTCTAGCTCTAATCTCATTCGTGTTAGTTTTGATCTTGGGTTTACCATTGAGAATAGATAAGTTAACGGTCTGTGATCTGTTTTTACTATGAAATGTTTGCTATAAACGTATGGACGAAAATGTTTTATTGCCCGGTGGATTGCTGCTAACTCTTGTTCTGTTGTTGATTTTGCGCTCTCGCCTTTTGTGAAGGTTCTTGAGGCGTATGCTACTGGTAGATGTGTACCATTGTGTTCTTGTGTAAGAACTGCTCCGCACGCTTGCTTACTTGCGTCGGTAGCAATGCAAAATTCCTTGCTGAATTCGGGGTATTGTAGTAATGAGGGCTTAAATAATTCTCTTTTTAGATATTCAAAAGCTGACTGACATTCAGCTGTCCATTCAAATTTTACATTCTTTTTGCATAAACGTGTTATGTGACGAGAATAATCCGAGAAGTTTTTAATAAAACGTCTGTAATAATTGCAAAATACAACAAATCTTCTAGCGCTGTCTGCGTCCGTTGGGACTCAATATTTCTCAATGACATCTTATTTTTTGTCATCTGGTAAGATACCCTTGTCAGTGCACTTGTGACCTAGAAAAGTTACTTCGCGCATGAAAAATGAGCATTTCTCTGGATGTAGCTTAAGGTTGTGTTTCCGACACACATCAAAAACATTTGTTAGGTTTTGAATCATGTATTTTTCGGAACAAACTATAACTATCAAGTCATCAATATATATAGGAAAGCTTGAGAAGGTTTAAGACCTGAAAATGCTATGGTCATCATTCTTTGGAATGAGTTTTGCGATATTTTAAATCCGTATGGTAATCGCGTGAAACGATAAGAGCCATTGCTCGTGGAAATATACGTTATATTTCGAGAATCTTTATGATGTTCAATCTAGTGGAATCCAGACATTAGGTCAAGACATGAAAAATATTTTGCTCGTCCCAGTTGATCTATTCTTGGAAGTGGCAATTTATCCGGCAGTAATTTGTTATTAATCTGACGATAATCTACTACTAGTCGCCATCTTTTGTCAGTCGAACCTGGTAAAGGTTTCTTAGGTATCAGCAAGAGTGGGCTGTTGTATTTAGATACAGACGGTTCAATGATTTTTTCGCGTATTAATTTATCTACTTGAGATTCTATTTCTTCTTTATGAGTGTGTGGAATTCTATAATTTTTTATGTATACAGGCTCCTCATCTTTTAATCTCAACTTTTGTTTATAAAAGTTATTTGTAGAGATTGTTTCTGATTCTAAATGTCACTATATTCAGTGCAAAGTTTGTTTAATAGTTTACCAAATTGTTAGGGAAAATTTTTACTTAATTTTGCTAATACTTGACTTCGTCTTTCTACATTAGGTAGGTGAGAATATTGTATTTACTGAATGGCTCATTGGAAATATTTTCAATGTCTACTATTTCATTAGTATTTGTGGTGTTTAATAGTCGGATGTAAGTATTTGTTGAATCTGTAATACACGCTGCAATAAATATACCATATTTTATTTCTTGATTGGGTATGAAAACTTGTTGTTCAATTGATTTTATTTTATTTTTGTCTAACTACTTCAGATCGGGCTGAGTGGAATTGGTTCCGCATGTATGCGTGATTGGTATGTGGATATGCGTTTTAATATTTGTGGGTCTGACTTTTGTTGCATTTGACGTTATCGGCAGCACCGAGGGTTACTTAGTTGGTTGCGTGCGATATTATCGGCCACGCCGATATCTTTTTGTCATATGGTCAGAGTATGCGGGGTGAAGCTGGGCCCACGGCGGAGCCCAAATTTTTGAAGGGTGGCAACGCCAGACATGCGATCCACGGCGCCAAAAGCGACGATTGCTATTGGCCGCCCGGTTCGCTCTTAAAGAGACTATGAGGAGAGTGGATCGCATGCCCTTGGATATGCCCTTGGCCTTCATTTGGGCCATTGACCCAAAAAAATGCAGCTGTGCAGATGGGCAGCAACGGTGCCCGCCTCGCAAATGTATGCGTGTGCCGAAATTCGGCACCGATGGTGTTGCTGCCCAAATGTACGAGGAGTTCGATTTGATCAGCGGTTAACGGCAGGCGTGCCAGCTCGAAGTGAGCATAAAATTTTTATATTGCATATCGGCTCAAAAGATTCGAATTTTTTCCCTTCTGGCAAGTTAAGCCGGCGCGTAATAACAAATAACTTAACAGACAAATAAAATTTTTGGTTTTGTTTTTTTTTGCAATTTAATAAATATATATAAATTAAACCGCTCGAGTCACAAAATATAAAAAAATTAAAAGAGACTTAAAACTTAAGTGCGACGAGAGACGAACCAAATAAAAACAAAAATTAACGGCTCCGGCAACAAAGGGACCAGCTCGCGCACCAGAGAGGCCCACGAAACATACCAAAGGCCAGGATTCGGCTCAGCGGCGCACACCAGCCATATCCGCGACGCCGCCAGCAAGCGTCGGCGCAACCCTGAAGGCGACGAGACGAGCCACCAACGACCGGGCTCCAACAACGAAGAAGCGGCCACAGGCGAGACCACGCCCACATCCTCCGAGTGAGTCCGTTCCATTTTGCCCATCCTCGTTCGAGCCCTTGGCAGAGTCAGATGAAGACTCCTGATTGTACTCCCTGAAAAAGAGCAGATTTTTTTTTGTCGTTAAATTTAGTTTTTTTTTGTATTTATAAATTATATCTATACATACATAGGCACTTACGCCGAGCTTCACTTTAGAGTGCGAACGGTGAGGGAAACTCCAAAGGTGATGCATCTGCGCCTGTAAAATATAAAAATTTAAAATTAACACTTGCGCGAACTATGCTCACATACTTACCTAATTGGAATTTACCCATTTATATCGCCCCTTACCACCCCCAGAGAGCTCTTTAGGTAGGGTAAGGTAGAATTAAGCGATTTAATACAGATCTATATCACCTACCTGTTGCACGACTGATTATCGTGACATACCCAGTTTTAAGTATTTGTGTGGGCCATTGTTCCTAAATCGGCGCAACGATTGCCTCTAAATTGCCTCCTTGCGTGTTTCTTTTGCGGCGACTAGCAATATCTTTGTAGTATTTCGTCGCCTGTTCCATTTAGTGCTGTTAAAATAAAAAAATGAATTCTATAAGATAAGAGAAAAATTTAGGAATTAATACACTTTGTCCATAAGTATAAATATATGCAACATTAATACGCACCCGGAGAAGAAATGTTCACGTGCATGAATACTAATTTATCTGAATGGAGACCTCGTGCAAATTAGAAAGAAATAAAAGAAATATTAATGCCAATAATTATAAGAATACACAAACCATTATACGCACCTGTGAAGTTAACGAAATATCCACTTGCATGAGATTCTAAATAGCTGCAAGATAAATGCCATAAGCGATGATTATAATTGTTATAAATTTTAAGAAAACGCAACCAATTATACGCACATATTGAAAGAAAGCATGTCCGGCTAAAGTAATATTGTTGGGGAGAGTGGGCATGATGGCCGACACGGGCTAATGTAGGCCATTTAGTGGCCAAAATGAGGGAGACGAGTGTAGGTGATCGTCTCATGGTAGGGCGGGTACGCTGGGTCCGGAACCGGGGCCCGATCTGGAAGAGTAAGGTGGATAAATAGTGTTTTTTGTTAATTTATATTGAGTGTCTCACCTTTGTTGTTTACATTTTCATAGTTGTTACAGCTGTTTATTTTGTTCATGAGTTAGCAGTTCCGAATATTTGTTATCGATTATGTGGTTCATTTTGAGTAGTGTTGTGTGAGTCTGTTTTGCTACAGACGTGTAGCTTTGTTGTTATCGATTGTGCGGACTGCGGGCCAGGGATGGGACTGCACCCAGAGAATCCGATGAGCCAGCCGGCGCGGCCCACTGAGAAACAAGCAGTTCCGTAACAATATGGCGCCCAATTTGAAGAAGCACTCGGCTTCTTTGAAGTCGGTGTGTAATCAAAGAAAAATAAATACGATATAAATGAAGGTACAGAGAAAAGGACTCCCTTGGCTTCAGGACCCACACCGCTGAAGTCTTATGTGGCACGAGTAGGTAGCTCATAATCGCGCAGCGTGTAGTGGAATCCGAGAAGCACGACGGAAGTAGAGGTTATCTGAATATCCATCCATAAGCATGAGGGGTTTTTCTTGTAGTGGTTGATGGCCGTTCGCATGTTGGCGAAACGTTTGCGACTGTCCATCATTCGCCTGGTGGTAGCCGCAACGACAAAGGCATCTCATGATTAAAAAAATGTGATATTAGGGTAGTTTAGTCAGATGTTATTTATCAATTAGTAGTTTTTGTCTCATTTTGTGTCAATGTTGGATGTATGCTGGACGTAGTTATACGAGCTTCGGAGACAGGTGACCCAGGACGATATAGAATCGAGCCTGCGCCGCATCTGTCACACAGCATATCCCAAGAATGGCCAGAAGAGCGACGGAGACGGATCTTGCCATGGTGTCCATTAACATGGGGAGTTTTCTTGTCGCGGTTGATGACGGTAAGTCACGTTTGCTAGTTGGCGAACGTTCGCGACCGTCCATCGTAGCCTGGTGGTAGCCGCCATGACAAAATAACCTGTGATAAAATGTGATATTAGGGTAGGTCTGACTAGAGTTTGTTTAATGTTTTCTATTTGTTTTGTCCCACTCTGTGTTAACGTTTGGTGTGTGCTGGCCGTAGTTAAATGAGCTTCGGAGACAGGTGACCCAGGACGATATAGAGCCGATCCTGCGCCGCACCTGTCACACAGCATACCCTAAGGGTGCACAGAAGTGCGACAGAAACCAAATAGCCTTCAAGGTAGCGTTCCTTGAATGCCGTTCGTCAGTCAAACTGACGAACTGAGCATTTGACGAATGCTTAAGTGTTGTCCACTGTCCAGATTATGCGTAGATTATTTAGCCTGTGTTAGGATTTGTCTTCTCTCCCCCAAGTATTTGAAATTAATTAGAAAGAAAAAAATTTATTTTTGTGAGTGTTTTTGTGGTCGATGTGTATTAATTTATTATTCTTTATTAGTAAGATTTGTTAGTGGGTGTTTATTTATTTATTAATTTATTAGGAATATTGGTAAAGTTTTTATAAGGGTTGTAAGCCTTGTAGAAGAGAGGGGTACTGTTCTCAGAAGGGATAAGTATGGCTGAGGAACAGGTGTCTGATTGGGCTTCTGACGCTGATGGGGCGTCGGCTCTGCCACCGCCGCGCCCAGCTGGAGGGCTGGTGCGAACGCCAATGAATTTCCGGGGATTTCCAGAGAGACAGATCCCGGAAGAGGGTCACCTGGTAGACTTGGAGAAAGAATTGGCGCAACAGGATAAACCTCCACGGAACCTGGAGTTCCCAAAAGCCCCGAAAGACTCAGTGCTCAAATCGGCGGCAAACGCGGCGATCGCTCAGGCCCACCAAACATATCTGCATGCTCTGCCATCTGGCATCAGCGAGTCCATCCGCGAGGAGATGCGAGCTGGCTTCATGGAAATGATGAAGGGCATCATTGATGTGCTTAGGCCGCCAGGGAGCCAAACCGCCGAGACTAACACTGCGCCGAAGCCGCCGAGACATGTCGAGCCGGGACCACGAACAGGCGCCATCCCGAAAGAACGGGAAGTGTTCCAGCGCGAGGCATTTCCACCACCGGTGCCACCGAAGCCACATAGACAAGGCGCACGAGGGGCGGAGTATTCGTCCAGCAGCCCAGTTTACGTTGCAGATGCTCAGTCGAGGAACTGGCGTAACCCGAATAACCGCCATTTCCGAGTAGAGGACCGGAGAGCGGATGATTTTCAGCCGGAGGAGGCGTACGCCAACGTACGAGAAACGGCGTACATGAAGCTCGAGCGGTGGAACGTCAAGTTTGACGGCGAGGACGCGATGAATTCGGTCGAGGACTTCGTGTTCCGCCTGGAGTTCCTGCAGAGGCAGTATCAATGCCCGTGGAAGGAGGTCCTGCGCGGTTTCCACCTGCTCCTGACCGGCCGCGCCCGCGAGTGGTATTGGATGCACGTGCGGCATTCTAGGGTCGACAGCTGGATGCAACTGCGGCATGCCCTCTTGGACAGGTTCCGGGGCTACCAGACGGAACACGATGTGATGCAGGAGCTATTACAACGAGAGCAACAGGCCAGCGAAGGGGTGGATGATTATATCCACCACATGCGTCAACTCGCCGCGCGATTCCAGAAGCCGCTGAGCGCGAGCTGGTGAAGATATAAAGCGTGGTTTGAAAGAAAGTCTGGCGAAATATATCTATGCCATGGACGTACTCACCGTGGATGAGCTGCGCCAAGAGTGCCTAGAAGTGGAGAGGCACATGGGTCGCAGAAGCCGGACTGGGTACCTGCAGCCGTCGCGTTGTCCACAAGGAACGAGGCCCGTAGTCCACGAGGTTGAAGTACCACCACATCGTACAGAAACGCCGCCGGGAGAACTGGAGGAAGCATTCGTGCGAGGCAGGAACTCATCCCGACTTGTATGCTGGAACTGCAGACAGTTCGATCACGTCTTTAGAGACTGCCTGTCCAAGGAGCGGAAAATATTCTGCTATAGGTGTGGAAAGCCGGACACTTTCTGCTCACAGTGTGAAAACTGTCCGGGAAACCCCAGAGGGAGCGCGGTGATGGCGGGACAGACGCGTTCCGGGACGGCGACCGCGGGGAAGCAGGAGAGGGGTACCTACCAGAGCCAATAATCATTGGAAAGGAGACGGAGATTTGGGATAAGGATCAGGATAAGGCTAATTATAATAATAATATAAGCAAAGGAGGAACACTTAGGGGCTTACCATACGAAGAACGTGTTCGGGCATACATGTCGGCCCGAAATAGAATTTTTGGTGAGCGACAGCTGGAAGGGATGACACTAGCCACCCCGGAGAGTGGTGAAGGCACGTGCGCGCTTCCGCAGACGCAGGATTACCAGGCGCCAGGTCGTCGAAGCGGTGAGACGGGAAGATAGTATAGACCCACGCGTATTCGCCGAAGTGGAGGTCGCCGGGACCAAGATGAAAGGGTTGCTGGACACGGGAGCCTCAGTCAGTCTGTTGGGACGAGGATGCCGGGAGTTAGTGGAGGAACTGGGATGGGAAGCGCGGCCATACGAATCGATGGTGAGGACAGCGGCGGGTGCCAATCGCCCAATTTTAGGTCGCGTTGTTCTGCCTGTGAAATACGGGAATAGAAAGGAAGATATCGTATTTTACATGTGCCCGGACCTGCGACAGGAACTATACCTGGGAATCGACTTCTGGCGAGCCTTCGAGATTGCACCAGAGCTGCTCGGTCCGGCCAGAAAGTCCGAAACACCACCAGAGGCATCTGAGGTAACGGTAGCGAACCCAGAGGTGGCTTATTACCGGGACGACGACGACTGCGTGACGGATCCGGAAATGTGGGACCTGGACAACGATCAGAGGAGTCAGTTGGAAAGCGTGAAGCGCAGATTTCTCCAATTTGAGAAGGATGGCCTAGGGAAAACTCACCTGCTGCAGCACCGAATTCAGCTGATCGAGGGAGCAGAACCCGTGAAGGACAGACATTATCCGCTGTCCCCGGCCAAACAGGAGATCGTGTGGGCCGAGGTGGATAAAATGCTAAAGTTAGGCATCATCGAGGAGAGTGACAGCCCCTGGAGCAACCGGACGACGGTGGTGATGAGGCCTGGGAAGAACAGGTTTTGCTTAGACGCCAGGAAATTAAACAGTGTGACGGTAAAAGACGCTTACCCGCTTCCATGCATCGAGGGCATCCTATCGCGAATCGACGAGACTCATTTTATCTCTAGCGTCGACCTTAAGTTCGCGTTCTGGCAAATCGAGATGGAGGAGAAGAGCAGGGCGTATACGGCGTTTACTGTACCAGGGAGGCCGCTGTACCAGTTCCGCCACATGCCATTCGGGCTCTGCAACGCCGCTCAACAACTTTGCAGGCTCATGGACAAGGTAATCCCGGCGAATCTGAGGTCCAACGTTTCGTATACCTAGACGATTTGCTGATAATATCGGCAGATTTTCCAACGCACCTAAAATACTTGGAATTGGTGGCCGAGTGTCTGAGGAACGCGAACCTCACCATAGGCATGGCGAAGTCAAAATTCTGCTTCCGCAACCTAAACTACCTGGGTTTCATCATAGGCGGCGGGACGCTGCGCATGGATCCGGGAAGAGTAGAAGCGATCCGGAACATCCCGAATCCGAGGACGGTGCAAAGAACTACGAAGCTTCTTAGGTACGGCGGGGTGGTATCGCCGATTCATAAAGAACTTCGCCGAGATCTCGGTACCGTTGACTGATGCCCTTAAGAAGAGAACGGGTAGATTTGTGTTGAGCGACGAGGCCATAGATGCCATAGAAAGCTTGAAGTTAGCCCTCACCACAGCCCCGGTGTTAGTTCACGCGGATTTTCAAGACCATTCTTCATCGCGACGCATCTCACTACGGAGTAGGAGCCGTGTTGTTCCAGCTAGACGACGAGCAACAGGAAAGGCCGATCGCATTCTTCTCGGCCAAACTCAACAATCACCAGATCAACTATTCGGTGACCGAGAAGGAATGCCTAGCCGCCAAACTGGCCATACATCGATTCCGGCCGTACGTGGAGATGATGCCGTTCACGGTAATCACCGATCATGCGAGCCTGCAGTGGCTTATGAGTCTCAAAGACTTGAGCGGGAGATTAGCCAGGTGGTCCCTAGAACTGCAAGCGTTCCCTTTCTCCATGCAGTACCGCAAGGGAGCCGACAACGTCGTCGCAGACACATTGTCCCGAAGCGTGGAAGAGGTCGAACTGACCCCGGAAGATCTGTTGGGATTTCAGACCCCGGAGTTCGAGAGCACCGAATATCGAGAGCTGATAAAAGAGGTGATGAGCCAACAAGGGAAGTTGCCGGACTTA